AATAATCGTAAAGAGGGAAATGCAATAAATAAAAGTACAATAGCTGGTAAAATTGTTCAAATTATTTCAATAGTTTGGCCATGTTATAAATTTCGATTTGTATAATTATTAAAAAATAATATAAATATTAAATAACTTGCTTAGAAGTGTATTATAAATGTAGAGAAAGAAGAGTAAAAACGAGTAAACGAAACGAGTTTTCGCACGTAAGCTCCCTATTCGTAGACCAGGTAACATATGTTGAGTTCATCCATAAATTATAAAACATAATCATAAAGGTAGTGCTAAAGTTAAAGGTAATGTTAAATGACTTGTTCTTGTAAAAATATAAGGAAATAACCCTATAAAATTATTAAATAAAATTAATGAAAATAATGATACAAAAATAAAAGTTGATCCTGAGTGACTTGATGGTCCTCGTAATGTTTTAAATTCTTTATGAAGTGTTAATAAAATTGAATTTCAAAATACATGGTAACGTGAGGGTATAAGTCAGTACACTGATGAAATAAATAATAATCCTAAAAATGTTCTTATTCAATTTAATGATAAATTAAAAATTCTTGAAGAAGGGTCAACTACTGTAAATAAGTTAGTTATCATTTTCAATCTAATGATTTAGTTGATTTTTGTCAAATCTGAGATTTAGGGATTATTGAATAATAATGTATTATTCTAAATAAAATAAAAGTAATTGAAAAAATAATAAATAAACTTAATCAATAATATTTGTGGAATCAAAAAATATTAAATATTTTAATAATTTTAGTTTGACATACTAATGTTATATTTTAATAAATTTTTGTTCATTAGCAGTAAGTGCTAATTTACTATTAAGTGGTTTAAGAGACCAATACTTGCTTTCAGTCGTCTAATGATGAATTTACTGTATTTGTAATTCATTTAATAAAACGATTAATAGGGATACTTTCAATTACAATTGGTATAAAACTGTGATAAGCACCACAGATTTCAGAACATTGCCCATAAAATAAACCTGGTCGATTTATTAAAAAATTAGTTTGATTTAGACGGCCAGGAGTTCCATCAACTTTTACACCTAAAAAAGGAACGGTTCAAGAGTGAATTACATCTGCTGCAGTTACTAAGATTCGAATTTGAGAATTTATAGGTAAAATTACTCGGTTATCTACATCTAATAATCGAAATCCCTCTGTAGTTAATTCATTTGTTGGGATTATTATAAGAATCAAATTCTAGTTTTATTATTTATATAATAATAT